ACCGAAGGCATCTCTAAAGAAATCAATTGCCGCTGCAAGCACCTCTCTCGCCTCTGTGTAGCTGACACCTTTGAAAATAAACTCTTTGATTTTTGTTTTCGCTTTCCGCATCTTAATCTTCGCAGACAAGAAGCCAGTCGCCGCTTCCCCGTTCAGTTCCGCCGTGACCCCTGCCCATGTCTGCAACTTCTCTTTGTGGCTATTGTCATATCCCAGGAGCAGCTCCTCCTTCTTCAACAGAATGGAAGCTGTGCACTGGCAGTTCGAGTTCGCCATCAGCCGATACCGAAAGATCTCAACCTCTTTGGATAGGTGCGCCCTGGTCGCTTCTATCCGCTTTTTCTCCTGTCTCTAGTAAGCTCGCAGACATGCTGTCAAGCGCAGTAGCGCTGCATTTAGATCGCCTGCAGCATTGTCGAGCACTTGCTTGATGATTTTCCTAATCCCTTTCTTCTTCGCTTGGTTCCCTCGTAACCTCCAGATCCCCGGGCCTCTCGCAACCACTGTGGATGACTCCAGCGACACCATCACCGCGTACCAGTGGTCCGTCATCTTGTTGGTTATCTCTCCATGCCATACGTCCACTAGCTTGCTCTGCAACGGCTGCGATATAAGTGCACGATCGATCGTGGTGCTAATCTTCTTCGCCTTGGAGTAAAAACTTTACTCGCACCTATCCGGGTACATGAAACGGAACGCGTCTCTCAGGGACGTGCGCGGCCAGTAGCTCAGCAACCGCTGGTTCTCCGCAGCCGAACCTGCCTTAGTCATTTTATCCATTTCAGGGTCCTCCACCACGTTAAAATCTCCCATCACCAGCACGTTCTGCGAAGCAGGTAAGGAGCTGATGAAGGGTTCCAGACAGTCTCTGTAAAAGGGGCCTCTGCTACACGGCTGCGCTGGGAGGTACATCGCCACCAGGAGCAGTTCAACATCACCCCAATTCACCATGACGCCAAGTAACCTTCCTGACGGGTGTACGTAAGTTTCCTTGAAATCCATCCCAAGTATAAAGCTCAGGACCGCAACACCACCGGCCGTTTCCGCAGGCCCGACTGCTACTTTTGCTGCTTGCCTAAGTTGTGTCCAGAATTTATTAAATGCATCTATCCTTGTGTCTATGATTACCGCGATGTCTGCTTTGTTCTGTAGCCAGTCTCTGCATTTAATTCTCTTCCCCTCACTGCCGAGTCCGCTGATGTTGAACTCGCAGAACGTGATGGAATTCTTCTTATTCATTGAACAACCACGAGGAAGCCCCTTCACATTCACGGGCTGTGAGAAAAAAAGATATAGCAAAGAGACCACACAGGGACACTACAGCTAACTCCACACCACAATCAGCACTGCTTCTGATGCCCCACCCACTTCGCTGGACCGCCTTCCAGGACAGCTCCTTATTCACCCTCAACACCCTTGTTCTCCGTGAGACTACCTATTCAGGGCCCTTGGCGAATTCCTTGCGGAAAGCGGGAAGGCTGATTACACCCTTGCTGATATGCGTGGCCGCACTCGGCTTGACCAGATTGGTCTTGTGGCGAAGGGAGGCAACGTGGGCCTGCTCGAAACTGGTACCTTGAGCTTTCTCGCAGGCCGCGACAACACAGACCCAGTCTTCCCTTGACCCCCCTGTGGAGGTGAGTACAATCGCAGGATATTTGAGGATCTCTCGCAGCATAGCAGTTGCTTTCAGTGAGGCAGCTGTGGGGTGGGAGAGACAGCGGATCGTCAACATGGGAGATCGCAGAGAAAGAAATTGCAGGGAAAGAGAAGATTGCGAACGAAACTGAGAGCTGGTCCACACTGATACCATTGATCTCATGGACCTTCCTAACAGTCAGGTTCCACTTGTTGATGCTGGCTTGCCACTCCGTGACGTATGTGTTGTGGAACTGTGTCTTATGATGGCCGTTGCAGAGATCATAGGAAAGCGATGGGTACTGCACCATCAACTTCCTGGTATTGTCTGAGGGGTCCGTAATAGCATGCCTCCATGGATCCGTGTCACCCGCATGTGGGACCACCAAGCTCTTCACTTTGTCCGTGTCCATGCCGGTGACCGTGTCCTGGACTCTGTGGAAACCGAAACAACTGTTAAAAGCACTCCTTCCCTTCTTAACCAGCGTAATTTCAACGAGCATCTTGCGGATCAGATCGGCCGAAACGCTGGCTGGGTGCTGCCAATCCAGAGTAAGTGTCTTGTTCTTCCCCAGGTCGTGCTCGATTGACCGCGTCTAGATGAACTCTGCATCGAGAGCATGCTTGAAGGTGACTCGTAACCTGCCATATTTCTTCTTGGACAACCACGCAGCTGACAGGACCTGGTACTGCGTTGTCTTAAGCACATCAACAGATAGCGATGTTTTCCTGAAGTCAAGGGGATAAAATCATCGGGATTAGCAACGTAATTGGGAAACTGACTTCTGCAGAAAGCAAGCTGACTGCAACTGGATCAAACTCGTCGTCCGAGTCACTGTCCTACCACTCATCATCCATCTCGTCATTAACGCTCCCACCCTTCTCCACCACAGGAGCCGTTGGCAAAGCTGGAGTGAGCGTTGGATGACGACGGAGCCGGTTGAGGAGGAGGCGGAGGAGGAGCAAGCTTAGTTCCTTCCGTATTCTTGTCCTTCAGCCCATTTTCCTTGAGTGCAGAGAGGCGTTCGGACAGAGTCGCATGGGTCGCGTCGTCAAGGGATGTCCTTTGGAGCACCAGCAGAGAAGCAGAGGCAGAGACCAGCGGACTCCTGGTCAACATGGTGTTTTCCACGGTAGACTGAGGAGTAACATCACCAGGGAGAGCTTTCTTCCCTCCTTGCTTAGCACCAGCCTTACGACCCCTTCCGTTGGCCATCGTGCAATGATGAAAGCTTGTTGACAAGCGATGAAAGCCTGAAACTAGACAGCTTCTGAACACAGTAAAAGCTTCAAAGATGTGTCAGTTGTTATCGTCTGCGAAATATGTAGCAGCTGAAACATTGTTGGAGGAGTAAGCTGAAACCAATGTCGATAAGCCTGCACCGTAATCTGGGGGGTCAGGGTCTTGTAGCCAATCCAGTGTGAGAATGAGCTTCCTAGGCAGCCATGGCAAGCCCGATGTTAGGCCCTTGGTTTTTGTACCGAGAATCCCTGGAACCAGATAAGAGGCACCAATGTTCCATATATGAAACAAAAAGAGTATCCTCTTAAAGCTCTGATTATTGCGAATCGATCGGTTATGAAAAAATCACCATCAGGCAAGAAATTGGTTGACATTGATAGCTCCGAAGGTGGTTCGGAATCCATGGCGGAGAGCTCAAGGTGGAACATGTGGTAAGCGGAACATGATCCGGATGAATAGCCTACTATAAGAAGCCCAAATCAGTGGAAGAGAATGCGTTAGCCAATACAAGGCGAATACGACTCAGGCATGAGATGTGCTCTTATCAGCGCTGTCAAGTGCCTCTGCGCTCCGGTTCGTCAACTGCGACACGTGAAAATCATACCCTGCATTGTTTATTTGATATTCGGCTATTTTAGCATCTAAAAAAACTAAATGATATGCATCAAATCCCGCCATGACAGACTCAGCCGAGCTGAGATCCCCAGTGCACAGAGGTGGGTCCGTTGGCTGGCCTTGCAAAATTTCGCTACTGCTCTAGAGGTGACAGTGAAAGCGCGACTCTGTGGAGAGAGCTTCATCGAGATTCCTGCAAACAACTCACGTAGCATGCATGGGGTGTCATGTCCGAGGCGGTCTGACACAATGCAGTGGATGTGGTACACGTCGGTCGCCCCGTGATCTATCGTACCGGTTACCACTGAATATGGGCCAATGAGCATGAAGCATTCAAATGCTTCATCGATTGTGCCCGCTTCCTCGGCCCAGGACATTTGCGTGGTGTTTCCCTATTTCAAAACCCCACATTACATTCTGAAAACATAGCACTTATAAAACGACCCGGGTCTTATAGTTTATATAATATTTAATAAGACCACCCATATATTTTTACGAAATCAATAACAGACCCTAAGGTCTTTTATTTGGGGAATACGGTATATTTGCATTACAGTATTTTCAAAGGGACACAACAAGCAGCAGGTGATCTAAACTACACATTTAGTGGACGGGCTTCTTTATATGGTAAGTCTCCTACACGTCCTCATAGTCTGTCAGGAACCGGGTATCCTCCTCCACGAGCTCCTAATAATCTCCCACTTCCTCCTCTTTCCCCTCCTCCTCCCCCTCGTCATTCTCGTTCGGGTGGGTTGCGTTTGCGTCATCCTCCCAGGATTTTCCCTTCCTCTTGCATTCTGCCGCATCGATTGCTGTACACTTCATGGCCTTCCAGACCTCCAGGGCTTCCGACCAATTTATGTCGTACTTAAGGAGCAAAATCCGCATCAGCTCCCCCAGCCGCGCGTTGCAGAGCGCCCCTCGCACCCAAGACTTGATGACGTTCTCTCGCGAGAAGCCCCTTTGGCACTCCATAGTTGACAGAGGGAGCACGTCCATCGCATGCCACAAACGCACGAGGTTGGAGCATCTCCTGCCAAGTGTATTCACAAAAATTAGTTAGAACAGTAACACGAAATGTCAGTAAAACACAAGATAACACCTACGGTTATCTCTGTGAGTCGGAGCTCCCCAGAAAATTTGCAAGCCCCCTGCGTGAACCCCTCTTCCTCGTGGTGCGACTCCATGATGACACTCCAGATCGGTAGCTCCCGCTATGCGGCCTTCAGATCAAACTCCGACAGCTTGTGGCGGAACAGTTTGTTGCAGCCGTGCAGCTGCTCACGGCACTTGCCTTCGGCCACTTCGCCGCCCGGAACAGCTTTGAAGGCCCCATCCTCCGCAGGTGATCCAGCCGTTTGTTGAGGTTGTTCACGCAATCGCGGGCAAACTTGCGTCAGAGCTTCACGCAGTTGGCGTAGCTGCTCCCGTACTTATGCCCCGGTATTGGCCTCTCATGCATGGTGTACTGATGGTTGATCGGGCATCCCTCCATTTCCACACCTCACACCCACACCTTCGTGCCTCCGCCATGCCCGTACAGCTGCAGGAAATCCACCAGCCAGCACTTGCCTTCACCACCGAACTGCCCCTCGTTCTCCAAGTACCGGTGCTGCAGATCCGATGTTGTATGGTCAACGACCTTGGAGATCTCCGTCACATCCAACTGACACAGCGTCAAATAGAACAAAATACAAAGATTATCAAGGTCAAGACACTATTTAGTTCAATCTGAAAGGAGTGAGCCATTGTGCCAATAGCTGCTTACCTCTCGCTTCTGAAAACATCGGTTGGAGTCGTTCATGTCAGCGAGGATGTCGGCGAGGAAAAACAGGCAGAACTGGAACTTGAAGCTCATCACAATCTCGTACGCCTTGTGATTATTCTCGTACAGCAGAACAATGCACGCACACAGAACCTTGCACAACCTCTGCACCGCATCACCTCTTGACAGCCAGCGAACAGTGTGGATGCCCTGCACTTCCAGGTTGGTGTTGTAGATCACATATTGCAAATACTTGAACTGTTGACCCCAAATGCACGAACGCTCAAGCTCCCCCACCACCGTGCGCATGACCTTGTCCACCATATCCAGGTCGGGATTCGATTTCGTAGTGTCTTTCACAGCGAGAGCTTCCTTGTGGATTGCATGGGAAAGTTATAGGCAAATCCATAACATACTAAATGATATTCAACCTGAATCCCAAGTAGTTGTGAAACGCCAACGACTCTCGTTTGGTCATTCTCGCTCCACACCGCGGTTAAAACCCTGTTGCCACCCGGTCAAGAACAATACTTCAGGGGCAAAGTGGACTTCAATGGCACGTTGTTTCCTAAGGCAAAACCAAGATATGCGACTCCATTGCCACTTAGGTGAGCTAAACTACCGGGCAAAGGGAATGCTACAACATGTTGGTTCTTTTTATTATAAAAATATATTTGGAGCGGGTTTGACAATAAACTTTGTTTCGTTTGCTGCATCGCGAAGCTGGAAGTCCAAAACGTTGAGGTCCAAAAACACAAACCATTGGCATCTTTGTCAGTTGCACCATGAAAAATGTTAGGGAAAATCCGAACTCCTACCCACCATGCGAAATCAGAAGGGGTCGTATGCGCATTGTGAATATTGCATAACACACTCGTCAGGTTTCATCCAAACGTCGCTAGTCTTTCGTGTTTTTTGTCAAACGAGTTAACCTTTATTTGAGGTGCATCTCCCAGCAAAGTTCTTGATGTTTCACTCGTTTTGAGTAATAATGTTTGCCGAGCGTGGCGCAACAACCTGCACAGGAACACATTCACTAATGACAAATTACTGTACCCCAACAGACCAACGAGCAGTTAGACAGACTTCACAAAAACAAATACCGAACAAACTCGAACTTTCTTTTTGAATAAAATACTTTAAAAGTAAGATTACACGACGTGGTGCAGATCACTTCGATCGAAGGCCGATTGTGACTGATCGGATTGGATCGTTTCGATGTAAGGCGATCTGCGATCTTTATCAGAAACAGTAGCAGAAAGTTAGAACACGAAAGAGTGTTTGCACTAGTAAGCAGGGCAGTACATATAGCAAACCCTAATCGGGCTGTACTCACTATAGAGTACCCCACTGCAGACTAGACAGATGACACATTCTGACACACCCCCATAGTCAAAGTGGGGGATGATCAGCACAACAAGCAGCAGTTCATAGTTCACAAATATAAGCAAAACTAGAGGCTATCACAGAGGGCAAGTGAGGAGGAGGAGGGACTATGAGAGGAGAGGAGGTGGTGGGCGGCAGCTGAAGCTGCTGGCACACGGCGCAACTGGAGCAACTGGCACACGGGCAACTGGAGCAACTGGTACACTGGCAACTGGAGCAACTGGCACACGGGCAACTGGAGTAATTGGCTCCGCGGCTAGACGAGCGGCATGAGCAACTGACTCATGGGCGACTGGAGCAACAGGCTCACGGGCGAATGGAGCAACGGGCTCACGGGCGACTGGCGCAACGGTCTCACGGGCGACTGGAGCTGCTGGCTTCACGGCGGCCACCCCCCTTCGACCTCCCCCATCGGCCCAAAATTCCCGTTCACACACCCCTTGCTGCACTCCTAGCTCCACTCCCATGTCACCCCCCTAGCACCACTCCCTCGGCTCCCACACACCCACCCCCCTCAGTGGCAGCTGCAGCAGTGGGAGACGGAGGAGGAGGAGGAGCAGGGGACGACTCACACGCCCGCCACCCCTATAACCGCCACCCCCATACCCGCCACCCCAAGATCTAAACGCAGGCGGGGGGGGGCGGGTAGCAGCTGGGGCGGCGTGCGAGCGGAAAGCAGGGCGGGGCGCGGGTCCCTGGGGCGCTGCGACGGGCGAAGAACAGGGCGGCGCGCGGGCCCCCAGGGCGCCACGACGGGCGACGGGAGGGGGCAACGCGCGGGCCCCCAGGGCGCCACGATGGGCGACGGGAGGGGGCAACGCGCAGCCCTTGGGGCGCCACGACGGGCGACGGGAGGGGGGGGGCGACGTGCGGGCCCCCAGGGAGCCGCGCCGGGCGACAGGAGGCGGGGCGACGCGCAGGCCCCCAGGGCGCCACGACGGGTGACATGAGGGGACAGCGCGCGGGCCCCCGGGGCGCCACGACGGGCGACGAAACCGCCGCGCGCTCCCGGGGCGCGCGGCGGGCAGAAAACCGCCACGCGCTTGGGGCGCGTGGCAGGAAGAAAAATCGAACATCGCACGCCACGGGGCACGTGATAGACAGTATGGTAGCGGAAGCAGGCGGGCCCACAGGCCAGGAGCGTAACCGCTCTGATAGCATATCAGAAAGAGTAGCAGAAAGTTAGAACAAAAAAGAGTGTTTGCACTAGTAAGCAGGGTAGTACATATAGCAAACCCTAATCGGGCTGTACTCACTATAGAGTACCCCACTGCAGACTAGACAGATGACACATTCTGACAATCTTTCTCCGCGTCGAAAAATCTGGCGAAGTAATCTCTCGTAAATTTTTTAGCATCACGAATGATTTTTTCATATTCGAGCCACATCCCTTCCTCACTAGATTTTGCGAGAATCAATGGTTACCCCAACAAAGCTGTTTCGCATCCTCGTATTCACACGACGCGATTATTATGTTGTGGCAATTTAGAACAAAGTTCGCATGGGTTAGTTACTAAGTGTAGGTGTTGCCAGGAAGCCCGATCTGACTCAATCTCGTGGATCGCCTCAGATTGAGGCAAATAACCTCAGATATAGGAGACCTGCTTTACGTCCCACAACTAGGTACAACTCTCACAACAGGTGTGGATTGGAGCGCTGGAATCTGTTTTGGCAGGTTACAATTGTGCTATTTTGGACTTTTGTGAAAATGATTGCGTTTTTGCAGTTGCTTGTTTTATTAGGTGATACACGCAGTCTATACTATAGATCAGGAGTGCTGGCTGTAATCAACTTGCAGGTTGCCTGTACTGGTCCTATTTTCACTTGTCCGTTTTCCTTGAGAATTTAGCTCACCTGAAGATATATTCAGGGTTGGTTTTCCCCTTAGGCCGGTTGTAACTGACAGGTTTTGGGCCTTCCTCGGATTTCCCACGTACATGCCCCTCCCCACCCACTTCCCACCTCATCCTTCACCTTGACTACTGTCAAACATTATATGTTTATATTGTGTAGGCTATAGTGGGTTTAGCCTTAGGGGGTACAGCTTTGTTAGGGTTTCCTACTTGTATCCCCCTCCTACCTAGTTTCATGCATTCTCGTTCTATTCTAGATTCTAACATGGTATCACGAGCCTAGGTTGCTACCTAGGACCGCTTTCTACTATGGGCCCACTATTCCGCTAGAAGCGCCCTCGTGCGCCCTACCTTACATGCGCCCTCGTGCGCCTTTCTCTGCTAGTGCGCCTTCGTGCGCCCTCGTGCGCCCTCGTGCGCCTTTCTCTGCTAGTGCGCCTTCGTGCGCCCTCGTGCGCCTTTCTCTGCTAGTGCGCCTTCGTGCGCCTTCGTGCGCCCTCGTGCGCCCTCGTGCGCCCTCGTGCGCCCTCGAGCGCCCTCGTGCGCCCTCGAGCCGCCCCTGCAGGTCCGTCAGGCCCCCGAGCCGCCTCTGCAGACCCGTCAGGCCCCCCCCGAGCCGCCTCTGCAGGCCCGTCAGGCCCGAGAGCCGCCCCTGCAGACTCGTCAGGCCCGCGCGCAGCCTCTGCCCGACCGCGCGCCGCCCCTGCAGGCTCTCGCCGCCCGCCGCGTCGCCCTGCCCGCGGCGTCGCCGCCTGCCCGCGGCGTCGTCACCTGCCCGCGACGTAGCCCCTGCCCGCGGCGTCGTCGCCTGCCCGCGGCGTCGTCGCCTGCCTGCGGCGTCGTCGCCTGCCCGCGACGTAGCCCCTGCCCGCGACGTCGTCGCCTGCCCGCGGCGTCGTCGCCTGCCCGCGGCGTCGTCACCTGCTCGCCGCGTCGCCCTGCCCGCGGCGTCGCCACCTGCTCGCGGCGTCGCCCTGCTCGCGGCGTCGTCACCTGCTCGCCGCGTCGCCCTGCTCGCGGCGTCGTCACCTGCTCGCCGCGTCGCCCTGCCCGCGGCGTCGTCACCTGCCCGCCGCGTCGCCCTGCCCGCGGCGTCGCCACCTGCCCGCCGCGTCGCCCTGCTCGCCGCGTCGCCCTGACCTAATCCGCGCCTGGCCTCTGGAGCAGCCGCCCCTGCAGCAGCCGCCCCTGGCCACTGGAGCAGCCGCCACTGCAGGAGCCGCCCCTCGCCCCTGGAGCAGCCGCCCCTGCAGCAGCCGCCCCTGGCCCCTGGAGCAACCACCGCTGCAGCAGCCGCCCCTGGCCCCTGGAGCAGCCGCCACTGCAGCAGCCGCCCCTGGCACCTGGAGCAGCTGCCGTCGCGGCCCGGCCTCGCCCTGCAGCAGCTGCCGCGGAGCTCCCTGCTGCGGCCCGGCCCCGCCCTGCAGTTGTAGCGGCCCCGCTGTCGCCACCGTCTTGCGCCTGCCGCGCCGACCACTGGTGAGCATTGCCCTGCCAGCACTGCTACCGCTGCTACTGCTGCTACTGCCTTTTCTACTCCCACTGCTACTGCTCCTGCTGTTACTGCTGTTACTGCCGCTACTGCTGCTACTGCTGCTTCTGGCGTGGCCAGATGCAGCTCCAGGGCCGTGCGCGTGAGTCCCTCACGCCCCAGCAGCTTCGTGAGTGGTACGCTAGTTGGGGCTGTCGGGGTGGCCGTAGTGGTAGTCGCTCTGGAGTGGGTCGGTCGGGAGCTTCTGGTAGTGGACAGGTGCAGCTGCCGTGTCCTCTTTCGCCCCAGCAGCTTCGTGCGTGGTACGCTAGTTGGGGCTGTCGGGGTGGCCGTAGTGGTAGTCGCTCTGGAGTGGGTCGGTTGGGAGCTTCTGTTAGTGGACAGGTGCAGCTGCCGTGTCCTCTCTCGCCCCAGCAGCTTCGTGAGTGGTACGCCAGTTGGGGCTGTCGGGGTGGCCGTAGTGGCAGTCGCTCTGGAGTGCGTCGTTCGGGAGCTTCTGGTAGTGGACAGGTGCAGCTGCCGTGTCCTGTGAGTGAGGCTGCCGCTCTAGGTGCTAGTGCGTCTGTTGCCCTAGGTGCTGGTGAGGCTACCAC